TATGTTGACTTGCCAAGTAGTAGATTAGACTTTGGTGAACCGAGAAGGTTCCCCATGGTTTTTCTTGAGGAAGGTTTTCACGTCAACAAATCACTTGTGTTATCTACTCTTTATTGTATACAGTTATGATTGTTTGCGCCCACGTGCACTATATGTTTGCTCGAATGATTGATTGAATATCTATTCATCTATTCATACATAGTTGTACATTGGGTTTGGGTGTTGGGATCGCCGTGAGATTGATTGTTGAGTGAATTAATTAAATATTAATTAAAATCAATTATCATGTTTAAGTTGGGTTGTGGTGACTAAAAAGGTTCTCACTATTATTTGCTAAATTTGTGTGAGAAGAGGTAATTGTAATAAGTTAGGTTTTAATTGGTAATCAATTGAACTTTGAATTGCAAAACCTGTTCACCCCTCTATAGGTATAGTGTCTTAAGCTCCACATGTATAACCATGAGGGAAGATCCACATCAGGTTTTTCCTCCCAGAACAACAAAATCAGCTCATTGTTCTCATTGGTGAGTACTATTGAGTACATAATATTGCATAAATTATATATTAAATCACTCATTTTAGCTTTGTTTGTTTAGCATATGTTTCATTTTATAAGGAATTTGTGTGGTTGTAGGTAAATCAATGTACAAATGATGATTTACACTTATTTGGAGTGCATTGGAATGTTTTGGAAGCTATGGAGATGGGTGAACTTGAACCAGGAACATCATAGTAGGAATTCAAAAAAAGAACTGTTCCTACTGGTTCAATAGTTAGCACATAGAGTTCTACCAGTAACAGATAAAGTTCTACCAGTATATCTCAAACAAAGACTTTGATATTGGTTTGTTCCTAATTGTCTACTGGTTCATTTGCTATCAGTTTGTTCTTAGTACCTAGCAAACAAAAAAAAAAAAAAATACAATCAAGATTAAAATGCACAATAATAAACATAAAATCACTCTCGTAGAATTTACGATTGCATTTAGAATATGCAACAAGCCGTTAAATCCTTAGGTTATTCCTAGTGGACAAGTTTTGTCTCATGAAGGTTTCTAGTGGAGATATGTTCAAACTTATTTTTATTCATCCGTAAATTTGAAACATATTATTATTTCCTAATTGACAATGAAATTTAAGAAAGATTCACTTTATTCATATAAAAGCTAAATTATAGATTTAAATTCTTCCACTCAAATTATTCACATAAAAGCTGAACTATAGATTTAAATTCTATGTAAAAGTATTCACATACACATTAACATTAGAAACTCGGGTGTGTGTGCATGAAATGATTGTGCAATTTATGAAATTTATCAAATAAAATCTACATTGGGCAATCTTGCAATTTGAACACACACGGTCACTATGTGTATGATAAATTGGTTGATTGATTATTCACATCATCCATAGTTGTTTACTTTGGTTGGTTGCCATTGGGTTTGGATCGTTGTTAGAGATTGAGTGTTGAACATTGAAATTGACAAATTCAATACATTAATCTTCATGGGTATTACAGATAATGGTAGTTAAAAGGAGTTCTCACTTTAAATTGTCATATTGTTGTGAGAAAAGGTAATTGTGGTAGTATTAGTTTAAAATTAGTGTTTGTTGAAGCATAATTTTTAATAACCAATTCATCCCCCTTAAGTAGTGTCTAGCAACCCGCGTGTTTCATATTGACGAAAGATTTATGTTGTTCTGGGAGGGGGGAGAAACGATGTGGATATTTTCACACGATTATAAACGCGGAGCGCACGACACTACCTAAGGGGGGTGAATATGTTTTTCAATTTTAGTACAATTGATTACAAAATTAAAACCTAATCTATGATAACTACCTCTTCTCACAATGACTGATTGACTTGATCTTAATCGTACACCCAAGTATAAGTGATCAAGTTATTATATTACTCAGTGAAGTCCGAGGTCGAATCCTCAGGGAGTTGTATGTTGGAAACTTGATACAGAAAAGAGTGAAAATTGTCATCCGCGTAGTGTGCATTACAAGAGCTTGTGGAGGGAGCTTAAAATTGATAAATAAATAGTTAAAATAAGCTTTGGTTACAACAATCGAAAAATGTTACTTTTAGTTCAGGGATCCAAAATGCATTCCAGTGCTTGAGACTATGAAAATACCACCTTACCACAATTAACACTGACGTTAACGTAAAGTTAATTGGTAGGTCCGATGTATATATTAAACTATATCACAACAACTGTTTAGGTTAACTGGATTGTCTATGCACTATACATCAAGCAAATAACCCTAGTAAACCCGAAGGTGAACCATTCAAAAGGTTTACAATGACTATTTGATTGGCAAGTTTATAATTTAATGAAGATAAAGTTCTAGTTTATGCATTGAATCAAAAGTATTGGCTGTGCCAAGACTTAAGTCATCTATAACCAATCTCCTGATTGTTACATAAATCTCAACTATGTGTATCATATTATCATGCATAAAGTACATAATAACATATAAATTGAATGGAACTAAACAATAAGTCTAGCTCGGTACTCGAAACCATGTGCGTAACCTAAGTTATACAATATACCGAACATAAATGTACACAGTCCATCATTTGAGGGATGTATAAACATTAAAGTATAGATAAAATATCGATAATTTCATAACTCAAACAATGTTACACATGTCTTCACCCTTCACTAAAGAGTAAAAGAAAGACCACTCACTCTTCATTGCCATAGATTAGCAAGAAGAGCTAGAAAATCTTTTCCTTCCTTGTGAGGTATATGCCTTCAAAATACAAAAGAAAAAGTAAACAATCCTTTCCTGAGAAATAGTTGAATCACCCCCATTCTTCACTACCGAACTAGGGTGGAAAAGTGAGAGAGATTCAACCCTCCAAATAGAACGAAAAATAAAAGAAATGTGGAAGAGAGACTACTATAGGGAAGTCTCTAACTATAAATTGAAAAATTGAAGAAGAGAGAAAGAATGCAGAACTATCTTCTAATGGTTTGAAAATCTAGCAGAAGGGGGGCATTTATAGAAAAGGATTGGGCGGCAGTTGCTGGGATGGTCCAATCAAATTTCAGTGTTGCACAAACTGACCAATACGAGAGAACTCTTTAATAGAATGTGTGTCCTCATGGACTTCACATCAAAATATGGTGAAATGCCAAAGAAATTATATATTTGAGACGATACGGGAAATCAGTTTCTTAGTGTTGATTTCATATTTTTTGTGTGAATTAGTCACCCTTGTTTGAGTATTAATTAGTTGTAACCAATTTGGCAGAAAAGAAATGGAATTAACAGAAATAATAGTGATAATATGACCCATATTGAATGGTTTGTGAAAGAAAAATTTTGGATTGAGAAATACATGAATGATTTTTAACTGTGCAATCAGGTACAATCTTGAAGTTAGATGAATGCCCTCAAACCAAACCCAAATAGATGTATAGATTTAAGTTTCGAATATAAGTCAGAGCAAACTTTTCAGTCCATCGTTCTCATCACCACAATAAAAGGTAAGTGTTATATCCATTTAAACTTTATTTAAATATTCAATTGAGTTTTGTAGTTAGATTTGCTTTTTATTCTCTCTCCTTTTTATTTTAGAGGGAAATGTCTTTTCTTCTTCCTTAATAATTATTGTGCAAGTAGAGTGCTACTTTTATCAAATTTGTTGCAGTGCTCCTCATAGTAGCAATGGAGAAAGGGATAGGAAAAAAATTCATAGTTTGTGCTAGGAAAGCTCTTTGAAATTTTTTATAGGAACCCAATGTAGAGAAAAGCTTCATTGACTATATATCACACTACAATTCAACCAAGTGCATGTTCTTATCTTTTTGGCCCTTTTAATTGTACCATTAGCTACTTAAGTTCATTCTTGAAATACAATTTAAGTCATACCATTAGCTGCTTGTGTTCATTCTTGAATAATTATTTGCATTAATATTGTGCTTGAATTCAAATAGTGGTAATCAAGTTGATTACAGAGGTGTTTTTGTTACTTGAACATTGTCATTGTTTTTGTGTTTTGATGTTGTTAGTCATTTGGTAGTAAGAATATATATCTCACTGTCTTTTGGTTGAGATTTATATTGTGTTTTTAGTGGTGAGTCCAGTAATTGAGTTGAGCTGTGTTTTTTCTAATGAACAATTTGTGTCTTCAGTCACAAACAATTATTATAAAGCACTTTTGAGACGGGAGTTTTTTCATGTTTGGTCTATCACTTTTATCACTACTCTGTGATTGAAATAATTTATAGGTTTATTCCAATTTTTTAAGAAAATAGTTGTATCACAGACTATTATGTTTGGTCTGTCACTTTTACAAATATTCGTATAGTTGTTCATGTAAGAAGAAAAATTTTCTGTTGTATAGGCACATACATTTTACTTGGTCCATTGTACACCACAATTATTTTGTGGTCTTCGTTTAGAATAGACAATACATTTTGATTAAATTGGTGCAATATAAGTTGAGGACTGTCAAGTAGGTTTCACAATTTATTTGTTTAGTTAACATTTTTTAGATGATGGATTGTGTAATTAGTATTTTATTGATTATCTATATAGGTTAATAGTTTAATAAGATCCTATTTTTATGGAAATTTTGTCCAAATATTTTTAAAAGAACAAAATAAATTCTTTTAAATTAAATATTGCCAATTTTTTTTAGCATATGTGGTACATTCAAATTTTAACAATTGAAATGAAAGTATTCCGACCCACTTTATTTCACCAAAGTCATTACATTAAGATTGTAATTTAAACTTTCAGCTTAATGCGTATCTATGTTTAGTGTTATGGTTATCCCTAATACATATACATATATAAGTACATAAGCTAGCTCAAACGGGCCGGGCAATGCTATTTTTACATCAGGTCCAGCATCAGCAACATGGACGGACATATGGACCTGTATCCTAGCGCAGGCTCTGACTGTTCTGGAATAGGCGGGACACTCGGCCCAGGAAACTTTTAACTACATCCGTCCCCCAGTCCTGCCGCCCACTTAAACCCTAACCCCCTCCCTCTCTCTCTCTTAATTTCACCGCAGCATACTTGAGTTGCTCATCTTAAAAAACCTCACCTCTTTCTCTAAACGTGTATGTATTTAGGAATTTTTTGAACTTTGCAATTTGAAGCTTTGTTGGATTATTTATTAATACCACTTTTCGGATGGATTAATAGAATTGTAGATTGGATTTTGTTTTTCAATCTTACCTGGTGCTTGATTGAGTGACAGTGTTGGTGATTATTATTTCAGGTGAGTTTTTGAGGCCTAAACAATGCTTGTTCTGTTTGAAACTCCAGCGGGTTTTGCCCTTTTCAAAGTATTGGATGAAGGCAAGCTCTCCAAAGTTGAGGTAATACCCAAACGCAAACACACACTCACACATACTCACCCAATGTTATATTATAAATATGCACTAAGACTCTACGCTTTATGTTGTTCTTGTTGCTCATTATTGGTTATATTTGTGTGTCAGGACTTGTGGAAGGAGTTCTCCACAGCCGAGACAGCTAGACAGGTCATTTTTATGCTACTTATATATTTACATATGTGCATATATGCAGATGTATTAGTGCTTTTGCATTGCTTCATTATGGTTTTGGTATTTAATGAAAGGTATTTATATGTGTTGAAGAACTTAGATGTACTCATTGGTCTATTTGGTGAGAGTCTGTTATGTCAATTAAGTCCGATAAAAAAGAAGGAAGAAATATAGGAAACTTAGTATTGAAATGGATAATAGGAATGGGAGCTCATTTAGCTTTAAGTGGCAGTTAATGAATCATTATTCAGTTTGATTTCTTATAACTGAGGGTGGTAGGACAGGTATATTGGGTACAACTTAAACTTTGACACTTTTTGCATAAATTGGCTGCCCTCAAATTCAAAATCACAAACTCAAGAAGATTAGTCAACGCCACCAATCACCATTACAACAAATAGGTGTTGACTTTACCAACTTGACTAAATTGTTTAGATCAAAACATGTGTGGATATTGTTGTTGGTGCCAAAACCATCCACCCAAATCAGATTTTGACATCGGTAATGTTAAAATAATTGATATGTTTGGGTTTCATCTATTTGCTGAGGACCCAAGGCTGATATAAATTAGATAATCTAAGTTGAAGTTGCTTGGAATTGTAGATTGTTTGTCATGCCAATTCTTTTGCTTTCATCATTTGTTTTCTGGGTTGCCTCATAACAGTTTCTGTTTGTCAACTTTGTGGAATGACATTTGTTAGATTATACCTCAAAAGATGGTAGTGATAATCAAAGTGCCTTTTATCTTTTATTCTAGCAATCATGGCAACTCCTTGTAGTTCGTTTTTGCAATTTTTTGATTTATGTAGCCCATAACTAAGTCGATGATTACTATAAATGCCTTCTCTTTTTTGCTCCAACACTCGCTATCACTGAGATTAGTGAGATATGGAAATTACAGTTTATGCAACTTGGATAACTTGACATTTTTAATCTTGCCCCATTTTTGCATTTTATGCATAATAGATCACTGCAAAGGAAAAACATTGCATGCAACAACAAATTTTAATGTATTCTTGTGCGGTTTTTCTTATGCTGGTCTTCTGTGCTGAGCCTGTCTCCTTGTTCTTATGGTTGATTGAATTTGTTATTTAGTGAAGTTTTGATAGTTAATTGTTGCCATTTCAACATTAGGTTGTGACACTAAAAGCTTTCTCCAAATTTGAGAACACATCAGAGGCATTGTCAGCAGCCACTTTATTGATAGATAGCAAGCCTAGCAAAGGTCTGCGCAAGTTCTTACGTGTGCACTGTGATGGTGAAACATTAGCTGTGGCTGATTCCAAACTTGGAAATGCAATTAAGGAGAAACTGGTCAGTTTCTGCTCTTATCTTTTAGAGATTTAGAACTATAAAATGCTTTTTTATTGTTCCTGATTCTGCTTTTGTGTCATTTAAGTCACATCATTTGATGCCTTGCAGCAAATTGAATGTGTTCACAACAATGCTGTCATGGAACTAATGAGGGGGGTGAGAAGTCAATTGACTGAACTCATATCTGGTCTAGGTGCTCAAGATTTGGCTCCAATGAGTTTGGGTCTGTCTCACAGCCTGTCCAGATACAAGCTGAAATTCAGTCCTGATAAGGTGAATGACTTCTTTCTTATTATCACTAACTATCTTGTTAAACTTATAACATAATCCTTCAGTATTACTTCCATTTTGGTTTTTCATTTTGAACACTAGACATTTCACTCTAATGAATGTCCACAATGGCGGACATTGGAAGAATGACTGAAATTGGAAGTTGACTCCTTGCAAGTGGATGATCCGAAGACTATCAGGGTTACCAGGATGAGAATATATGCAGGACTTTGTCATTGATATTGATCTTAGTACTGTTCACTTTCTTGTCCTTATTAAGGTCGATTTCTTAGTTGTGCTAGTTCATATATTTTGTGTTCTATTAGGTGGATACAATGATCATTCAGGCCATTGGCTTGTTGGATGATCTTGATAAAGAGCTTAACACGTACGCAATGAGAGTTCGAGAATGGTATGGTTGGCATTTTCCAGAGCTTGCAAAGATTGTACAAGACAACATCCTTTATGCCAAGACGGTGAAGCTGATGGGTGACCGTACAAATGCTGCAAAGCTTGATTTATCTGAGGTAAAGATTTGGTTTCTCTTATTGAAGTCCTGATAACCCTTTTATTTAATTGCACAGCTGAGGCGGCTTAACCATCGAAAGAAGTATTGTTTTGGAACCAAAAATCCACGTTATCACTTGATGCTTTTATCATTTCTAAAACAATATTGAGAAATCGAAAGAAAGTATTGTTTTATCACTTGGTGCTTTTTATCATTCCCAAAATCAGCAATATGTAGAACATTTGACCCTATGTTTGATCCACTGGTCATACCCTTTGTCAGCTATTGTTGAGAAAGAAACCATTAGCATATTTTGCAGAATTGTCTTAACTTGGATTGACTAGATACAATAAGCTGCTGGTCTCTTGGTCTAAATTATTATGTCCTACGAGGCCAGAAAAGAAATATTTAAATTGGTGATGCATTAAACATCAAGTTTTGGATGCTAGTTGTTGGGATCGTTTGTCTTCATGCAACACCCTACAAACCAAATTAGGCTACAGGTTAGATGGGTGTGTGGAGCCAATTTTCATAAGATAAGAGCCGCTCGCTTTGGTAGATAATGAAGTGTTGCTTGTGATTGTTCCTTTCAAATTTTTGCAGATATTGTCAGAAGAAGTTGAGATTGAACTGAATGAGGCAGCCATGATTTCCATGGGGACTGAAGTAAGCGACATTGATCTGATAAATATCAAAGACCTGTGCGACCAAGTTCTGTCTCTTGCAGAGTACAGAGCGCAACTCTATGATTATTTAAAAAGCAGAATGAACACCATCGCCCCTAATCTTACTGCTCTTGTTGGAGAACTTGTTGGTGCTCGCCTAATTGCCCATGGGGGCAGCTTGCTGAACCTTGCAAAGCAGCCTGGAAGTACGGTTCAGATCCTTGGTGCTGAAAAGGCACTTTTTAGAGCTCTGAAGACGAAGCATCCTACCCCAAAATATGGGCTTATCTACCATGCATCTTTAGTTGGTCAGGCAGCACCAAAACATAAAGGAAAAATTGCACGATCTCTTGCTGCCAAATCAGCGTTGGCTATTCGATATGATGCTCTTGGAGATAGCCAAGATAATACAGTGGGATTGGAGAACCGGGCTAAGGTATGATGGATTGTTATTTGGCATAACTGTCCATGCTTCTTGCTCACCCCCCATTTGATGATGTTTTATTGTACATAACTTTCTGTAGCTTGAAGCTCGTTTAAGGAATCTGGAAGGCAGAGAACTTGGTCGGTCTGCTGGGTCAGCTAAAGGCAAACCCAAGATAGAATTCTATGACAAGGACCGCAAGAAGGGAGCAGGGGCATTCATAACCCCTGCCAAGGTGTGCATGCCTGTGTACTTAGTTTTTTACTCTGATCTCTCCTTTGTAACATGTATTTTTTGCTATTGTTTATGTAGACTTACAATCCTTCAGCGGATTCTCTTCTTGGACGGACTGAACCATTGGCTAACAAAGAGGAAGAATTGGTCCCAGAACCATCTCAAACTGAAGAACCAGGAGTGGAGGCTCCTGCTATGGATGAAGAGAGGAAAGAAAAGAAGAAAAAGAAGAAAAAGAAGGTTGATGCTGAGGACACTAGCATGCCAGAAGTGGCTGTAAATGTAGAGCAGGAAAGTGAAGAGGTGAGGAAAAAGGACAAAAAGAAAAAGAAGCAGCCTTTAGCTGATGAGAATACTGGGTTGCAGAATGGTGAAAATGTTGAAGTAGGAAAAAAGAAGAAAAAGAGAAAGCACACGGAACCTGATGAGGAGGAAACTGAAACCCCAAAGAAGAAAGAGAAAAAGAAAAAGAAGAAAAGTGATGATTAACAAATTTAAGAAATTATGCCTGAGTAACGAAGTTTACAATTTTGGCGGTCTTCTGCTGCGTACGGGTTTCACTTGTAAAATCTGCAGTGTTGGTTTTCTTCCTTTGTAGGGTGGATTTTAAAGTTATCTTTAATGTATTCTCGAATTTCGTAGGATGTGGTTGCAGGGCAATTTCGAGTGTAACATATCATTGCTGTTATATATTGACTGTTCATTAGTGTTTCAGGAAAGTGTCAGGATAAGGTAATTTAGAGTCCGAGATTCCCCCTTTGTAGTATTTGGAAAGAATCATATGGTGACATATGTAGGTTTTCATCTTCTGCGTATGAACCATTGTTTTGAATTGGTTTACTTTATTTTTGGAAACTGTGGATGCACAAAAGATATGCCAGATTCACGAGGGAGTCTCATTCTATTCTTGCTGTGAACTTGCTGTAGCTGTAGTTTCGACGACCATCCACCGAGAGTCCATGTATATAACATTACAAGGTTTTTGATCCAGATAAGGATGTTTACGTGCTGAAAAGACCGTCATTCTTGGAGCAACTTGCAGTTATGGACCCCTTAACAGACCTGGTGTTCCTTGGCGACTGGGTAGGAGTCACTTTTGAAAGACATCTTATTTTAAGGTTTTATTATTCTTACTTATTCAGGAAACCTATCTAATATTACAGTTAGCAAACTAGAAATGCACATTTACTGAAGGACAATAACAATTGAGATTAATTTAATTTTATACTATTTTATTTAATGGTATAAGATTCATTCCAAAAAAAAAATCTCCATCCAAAAAATTCTCATGCAAGCATTTAATGTCGGTCAACTTAACCAACATATACCTCAAATACTAGACAACTTACTAATCCATATCTGCTTCTCTCTCCTCTCTCCCTTCTCTCTTATTTTACATCTCTGTCCAATTAAATAATATTCATGCATGACGATGGATTTAGATGTATTTACTATTGAAACAATAGTCCCAAGAATTATTGACAACGCGCGTATAATTGAATATAAAAAAAAAATTATTCATACATTAATTATACAAGGTTGAATTAAGGTTTACCTCTTGCAATGTGAACAACACAAACAAACACTAATGTAGATCGAACATAATGCTCAATAAATCTCACGATCTTCTACCGTATGTCCTTCTCGACGCTAAAATTCAAAGGCAGTGTGGACTGCAATCCTTTAAATTTTATTCCTTGCTCTCTCTGTATATCTTCTAAACATGAAAGTAAAAGTTATGACTAAGGCAACAAGCAAAGACATCTATTTATAAACTCCGTACAAACTCTAAGGAGAAATAAGGGTTGGACTTTTAATGGGTCTAGGAATCCTATATCCAACTCAGAACAAACATCCTACGGTCCCTTAATAATAAGTTAGTTTACTAAAAACTTATTATTGATCTCTCGTGCCTTTTTAAAAATTATATTTTGAGTTCCTTGTTAATATATGTTTATTAATTTTCACACGTTTAAAATTACATATGTCCATCAATTAATTAAATTATTAAAAATTATATTTAATTGCCTTCTTTTTATCCTTGAAATATTCCCACTAAAGTTATTTGTCATGTAGAATAATTAAATTCATATATAGAATTTGACATAGATAAAACTTATGAGCTTCCTTAAGAAGATATCATCAATCCATTTTATTATAGTTTCCTTTAATAATTAATTTCCTCCATACAAATAATTTTATTTCTCAATTCACCGAGTTTGTTGACTCAAATATGAGTCTCACTCTTTGATGAATTAAAATAACAATTATTATATACATGTATTAATTAAATATTTCAAAATTAAGAGTTTAAGTAATTATAATAATCATGAGGTACTTATTTTTTTATTTAGTTAATAAAAAGATAATAACCTGAATAACGATCCTATTCATTACACAAAATGTACTATGCAACAATTTGAGACATCAGACAGTCTTCTATAGTTAAGATAGACTATGCCAGAAAATTACACTGCAATCTTACTGACAGTGTATTCAAATCTATTTAAAACTGTGAACCTTTACTCATATCATACAAGAATTCAACAATTTGATCTTCTGTGTATAAATCAAATTCTACACGCCAGATTAGTCATATGTAAAATAAAAAATGCACATGCATAAAATATATTTAGTATAATGTAAATATTTTACCCATAGATTCTCATTAAAATAGGAAATGAAAAACTTTTATTAAATAATAAACTAAGCTTTAATATAAAAAAAAAAAAACTTTTAGTATATTAGTCTATCATTTACATAAAAGGAAGGAAGACAAACACCCATTTTTGCTGCCTCCCTTCGGTTTGATATTTTGGCTCATGAATAATGATTTGGTGTTTCACATAAGGTGTCCTCAACTCGACATGGAGATGCTTGAGCAAAAGCTACGCAAGCTCAAGTTTATTAGAATTATGGTTTAAGAGTTTATGGGGCTCTGATGCTTCACCGAGCCATCCCCAATGAGATTGTGAGCACAACTTTTCTGATTACACCCTTAAGAGGTCAACTCCACTTTGGTTCAGTAAATTGTGGTGGAATCATATTTGTAATTACAGAAATTCTCCTAGTCAGATGAGTCAAAACGATTTGGGTTTAGGTCAAAGGCTTTGAACTTTGTAGAAGTGCAAGGAAGATCTGTTTGAGTTGATTGAAGTTTTTTCAAGCTCAGATTCCTTGGATTGTAATCGAATCTGGAGACTTTAGCTGTGCTTAGGGGGTAATTGGGCTAAAACATATTTTAAAATCAAGTTTAGTAGTTTCAATATAGACCACATTAGAGTGAGTTTTAATGGTGCACGAGCAAGATTGCTTAAAATGTGTTTGGAAGGATTCTAGAAGCCGACATTCACTATTTTGAACAATCCACTAGCTAGAACTCACTCCTCGCTCTAGCAAGCAGAGGGCGCTCGAGCTGGATGGTTTGGCACTTAAGAGACTGTCATGTTTTCACAATTCAAGGTTTCCTTATTTTAGCAGAATTCTTTACTAACTCAGCTTAATATCTTCCAACTAAAAATACTTGGAATATACATGTTTGGGAGATAACTAAGAAGAACTGAATACATTCTTTGAGAGCTAAAAGCTAAATCCTAGCCCTTGAGAAAGATTGTTATTGAGATTGATGTTTAAAGATCAAACACCAAGTTCTTGAGCGAGGACGGAGCTAGAAATTCCATTTAGGGTGGACACTTTACCCAAAAATTTTAAATTACTTTCTCCCAATCAATAAAAATAAAATAATATATTTAAATTTACAACATTATATTTGATACTTAAAAACTCATTAAATACAAAAATGGTCAAATGTTGATAAATATAGTATATACAAATAAAAAATTAAAAAAAGAGGCTAATTACAACCCTTCACAATCTCTATGAATTAAAAAATGAATCTAACATGTCAAAAATTTATCTAAATGTATCCATATAGTTTTCAAAGTGTGAAAAATTTCATAGTTCTTTAGATATATGACTATACTAATTGATAGAACAAAAAATAATAAAGTGGACTTACTTAAATATACTTAAAATTATTTGAAATATACATAAATAATATTTATTAAAAATAAATTTCAGGGTGGGCTTGTGCCCCTTGTTCCTCATGCGGCGCTGCCCATGTTCTAGAGTGTGATGTAGGTTAAGTAATTGTGATACCAATTTGATGTAGATTAGGATGAGGAAGAATTAGGAGATGTGAAAAGAAGGGATGAGAAATCAGAGGAATGAGATGACAAATCAGAAAAAAAATAGAAATGGGAAAAGAAGGAAATTAGGGCAAGAGGAGCAACAATTCTCAATATTCAATAATCAAAGGCTCCCCAAAATGATTACATTTGACCCTTTATATAGGGGTGCCAAAACCATAAATCAAGACTCCTAATATTATTCTAACAATATAAAAGATAAATACTAACTAATATTCAAATAAATAAATAAATTCACAATAGTTGTCCAACTCTAAAACAATCCCGGTTATTCCCCCGGTTTAGAAAAACTCTCTTCTAGAGAGTTATCCAAGCAAAAACACTCCAAAGGAGCATAATGAAGATGATAGAATACCTCCTCTATAATGGAAGAAGCATCAATGTCTCTCCATCAAACAGGGTAAAGGCAACAATCTCCATCTAAAGGGATGAGAATCTGATTTGATAACATATCATCTATTTGGTCCGCAATATGGGGGTGAAAGTGAATAGATAAGAACTGAAGATGGTGCTGATGAAAAAACAATTCCAATTGTATGAACACCTACTGATAGCATAAGAGACTCCAAAGTGCCTCGATAAAGTAGCAAATCCTCCATATAAAAACTTCGACTAATACTATTATACAATATGAAACTAAACAAATAAACATTAAGTCCAAACTCAAGAATAACAAAAGCATTTCCGTTAGATTTTAGTATGAAATGCTCAGGTGAACATAAAATCAAAGGTAAATAAGTATCAATAATGCCCTGATAATGAAAATAATCAATTACAAACTCAAGTTAACTCTTTATATTATTCAAAGAAATAGTTAAAGAAACTTAGCCAATGAAATGATATTACAAAATCTTAACAGAGTTCTCAATTCCACAAAATTTTCCTGAGTCCTGTGACCGGTGATGATTCAACGTTTGGCTCCAATGTAGTAAAAGACATGATAGGTTTAAAAAATTCTCATCATTAATATCAATGATCAAGTGATTGAAAATAGTTTATGGAGGATTAAAATCATGAGTGTCTAACATGACAGAAATAGAATCATTATTGTGCATGTGTCTGTAATTATGTGAATCCAATGACTTGTCCTCATTTTCCTCCATTGAATGATTTTCAAAGAATCTTAGTTAAGTGGGTAAGCTAAGTGATGACTTGTGAAATTTGGTTCTTCGTCCCCCTTAACCCCTCGCGTAATTGGCCTATTGAAAATTTCTTATTGGCCATTTCAATTTTCAGAGTCTCAGCTTTTGTTTCTTAGAGCATCTTGGGCTTTAGAATGTTCACCGATGGCATTGTGAACAAACCTATGTTGACCTTGATGGTGACTTTGGGAAGCAAGATGCTGGTTATTGTCATGTGAGTTGATGTCCCATAATAGTATTCTCGATTATTTTCATAATAAAACTTAGACTTCTTATGAAATCTCTGGTGACTTCAAGAGAATTTAGGTGTGATTTTAAATGATGGATTCAATTTTACTATTTACAACTTATTTCCAAAACGGCACTTCAGTAGTGGACATTTCTTCCTTGAAACTTTGAGGCTTATTTTATAATAAATGTTATAAATTTAGACCAAAGCTCGCATACTATGTTTAGGTTCATCATCACTTTCTTCCTCTATGAACTTTTGGTCTATATTACTAGTCACAATATCATA